ATTCTGATCAAGTTCTCTTTCGGCAGTTGTCATTTCTGTCTGTGAAGATTGATTTAAACAACCCAAGAAACTCAATATTATTCAAATGAAAGATATTTTATCAAAATGGCATATCGTTAAACAAAGAAGATGATCAGGCAGTATGAACTGGCAAACAAGGACAAAAGAACTACAAAACCATGTGCTTTGGGAAATAAGGCCTCTTTGCAAGGAAAGATGAGGACAAAAAAACAAAAATTAGCTTAAAATATTGTAAATGCTTTGACGTTCATGACGCAACAAATACATGTTAGTAGACTGACACGTGTGTATGGGAAATATTGTCTTAAAACAACCTTAAGTGCCATTCGTTAGGAGCACTGCTACATCTTTCTAAATGCAATAATAAAAAAGTATGCGATGACACTGATGTGAGTCTTGCTCTTGGCAAATGAGAAATTTAGCCTAATACATATGCTACATATGTACATCATATTGAGTTGTTCTTGTGGCAATTGATAGTGGAAAAAAAAATGAACTCAAGGCAGAAGCTTTGTGAAACAACCAGCACTTGACCAATGCAACCCAGAAAGGGTATATGTACAAATCCCAGCACTACGAGAAATCTAAGCTTGAGCCTCTAATTAAAAAATGTAACATACGAATATCATTACCACAGATAACCAACAAAATAAAGTGTCAAACAAGACGCCCTTCACCAATATCATTTTACAAAACCGTCCAACACTAACCTTCTGCATCGAGGAGAAGTCAATTCCAAAATGGGCCAGATGCTGAGCTAGGAGCGGGTCCAAAACACTGTCATCTTCCGGATAGGAATAAACATCTGTCAAAAAATTTGCAACAGTTAGTGCTGTAGATATTAAAACACCTCCAAAGAATATGAAATCCACATTTACCAACAGGAAAACAAAATAAAGCAGGAAGCCCCCCTTCTCCAGCCCAAAGAGAGAACTATCAACTGCCATTAACCATTCACAACCCTTAAGTCCAGTGACTAATCTAGTTCCTGTGAATACGGACTGAACATATTCATTTTGATAAAGTACGGGGTAGGAAATTTACAACTTCAAATCTCTGAAAGTTCCAGCCACATATAACATTACTCCAAAAGGTATCACCCTCACACTGAATTTGCAAGCCTTAAGGCCAGAGAGAAGCATTTTTTTAACATAAATGTAATACGGTTGAAGAGTACCTATAATTTTTTTCAAATAGATCTATTCCAATCCCCAAACAGGTTCGAGTAAGACTAGATTTAGGAAACAATACAACTTTACCTGCTGCTTCCAAGTCAGCTGTGATTGTTCCAAGCTTTACAGCAAGAGGGTAGGATGTCTCCTTGTAGTGCTCAACTGCATGGTTGTTTCCACCAGTTCCATCCCAGTTTTTCCTTCCACAGAGTATCATTCCATCGGTAAGATTAAGCCAAAGATTCTCCATCTTATCACACTTGGCACATTTCCAACCAGAAGGAGGAATGACAACGCCACTCTTGATCTGCTGCAGTGTCGATGCATGTTGACTAACTTGCTTTTTCTCAGCGGTCCAAGCTGCAACTTGCTCTTTCCGCTCAGCACCTACGGCACTCAGTACAGTATCGACAGCAATCCTCACCTGCAAATACAAAATACAAAAAAAAAGCTAAAACACATGCATTGTGCTTCTGTAAACCTGCTCTGATAACAAAGCTAAAAATCCAAAAAATATTGCTAGAACCTTCTCTGGGAGTTCAACAGAAGGGAATGGAAGTGAAACAAAATCCGGAAGTATGACTATGCTATAAGATTCCTCGTACTCAGGCTCATTGTTGTCAAATCCCCCATCAACTCCTGCAAATTAGAAATCAAAAGAATCACTTAAACAATTTAAATTCAAATCTTCGATGAGAATGATTACTCAACAGATACGGCATTGCAATGATTGTATACCAATAGCGAGCAGAGTCGGTTTCTTGAGAGGCCGATCCTCAGGATCAGACTTGGAAGTCTCCTTAATGTGCAAATAAACAGGGTTTCCCGTCTTCTCGTAATTCCAAGCAACATAATCCTTCCCAAAAGCAAGAAAACTGTTCATGTCTACGAACAATCCTCCTTCGGATCTCTGAAAAAAATTCATCATCACGAAATCATCATCAAATCAAACCCAACGAAACAAAAACAAAAATCCGACGCAGGAATCGGAGCTGAATAAAGCAGTCGCCGCCAGTTGGAAAGAGTAGTCGGTTATTTGAGCAATTCAAAAAAAAAAAAAACGAGCAGAGAGGGTTTATCGATAGAGGTTTTACCGGAGTGTCGAAGGAGAGGCAACACTCGTGCTTGTAGATGCGATGGGTGGGTTCGGGGATCTGAACCCTAGACAAGTTGGATCGGAGAAGCTCCATTTCCGGAAATCGGCGAACTCTCTCAGACGGGAAAAGATCGACGGGAGAGAAAGAGAAAGAGAGAGAGCGAATTGTATTTTGTGTGATATCGCACGTCTCGTTAAACATAAAAGAGGCTTCAGAGTAGAACGTCGTCGTTTGATTAAAATACCTTACCTCAACTTTTGGTACAACAAAACCAAAAAAAAAAAAAAGTCAATTTTGGAAAATGCGTTATCCGATTTTTTGTTGGGTGAATTTAAAAAAACATTCTAAAATGAGGAAAAACTTATATTGGATAAAGTTGGGATTCACACGAGAATGCTGTACGGCCCATTAGTATTATTTACCCAATAGTGATTTTGTATTGACCTTATACTAATAGCGATTAATCAGAGAACAACACTCAAAGAGAAAATTATGTTTTTAAAAATATATTACCTCTGTCACTATCTAACAAGAAAAAAGACACTAAATCATATTTTACGTTAAACAACTAGAATTCAGATTATCCGTGTTTAGTTTTTCAATCTTGACGTTTTTACTTGTTTGTTTATTCATTGGACATTGGCAGTTTGGCACCAAGTTATTCATGCTCCTATAAAAAAAATGAAATATATCCAGCGAACCGGTATTATTCCCTGAATAGATACATATTTGATAGGTTGATTCCAATTACCAACATAAAAATTGTCACATTCAGACATTAGTTTTATCAAAAAAGTTTTCTTTGAATAAAATGTTAAAATATACTCAAAGAAAAAAAAAATTGTTTACAAACTGTTTTTCAACTTTTTTTGATATTGAAACTCATTTCTTTCCATTAGTTTGTTCTCGTTGCAAACCATCACATATCTCTTCACTCCTTCCTCTCTCATGGTACTGAATCTATTTCTGATGGTGAGATCAATGGACTTGATTAAAACACCACTTGGAGTTGGATCTTCCTCATGTCTTCTAACATTCCGCTCCCGCCATATAAAGTGGATTGTCGCTTGAAATGTGTAACGCAGAATGATCTATAACCCCGAAAGAAATGCTAGTACGAGCAGCCTCCATGGAGCAATAATTAATATTAATACCAACATAAATTATACATCTATGTGTAAACAAAAGCAAATCTTTGAAAAATTAAGGCAACAGAAGAACATGCATGAAGATGAAACGATATGCAACAAGAACACTGACGTTCAAACTCCGCTATATCGCAACGATCCACGCGCCAGCTTGGAAGTGATGTTGAACATTGTTGTGAACTTTGTGGTTTTACTTTAACCAAAAAAAAAAAACTTTGTTGTTTTGCTTCATATTTGGATCCAATGTACTCCCTTTGTTTCATAATAAATGTCATTTTATATTTCATTTTTTGTTTCAAAAAGAATGTCTTTCTGCATTTTCAATATAACTTTTTACTCTTATTTCTTGTTTTATCCCTCATTTAAAGATAATAGTATTTGTAATTAAATGTTATAAAAGTATATTAATTAAGAATATATTTGAATATTTTCTTAATTTCTTAATCTGTGTGAAATGTGTCATAATGACACTTATTATAAAACGGAGGGTGTATTTGCTTGCATCTAAATAGACGTAATATTTATAGTAGTTAGATCACACTTTTCTATTTTGTTTTTTCAAAAAAAAAATCAACGTTATAAGAGGTTATTAAGTATGTATTATCGTGATGACCATAATAGTACCATTTAACAACTGCTAACTCGATGAATGATATTGTTAGATGGTAATCACGATAATACTCGATATATAAAAGAACTCAATTTTTCCAATAATCTTTTTTTTGGGATTTTTTTTAACGGATAATATATATCAACATCGAAATGAAATTGATAGGTCAGTGATCTAATCTCATGTCACTATATCTCACTGTGTTGGTTCAAAATTCTATGTTTTTTCGACTGTGTTGTCTAACCCACTATAAGTAGTTGGAAACAAAATAGCAGGACCGAGTTTTTCCATCTAATTTCCCTCCATGTAGAAAATTATTTTCTTTTTTTAAAAAACTATTTTTATTTTCTTTTCACAATAATTCAGTGTAGTGAAAATGGAGGGAGAGGGATTTTTGGAAAGCATGAAATGTTATTTCAACAATAAAATAAAATAAAAACTTTGTGAGAGAAATATAAAAATAAAAACCGTTGTGGGCCATCATCTTTCTTCCACTAGTATTATTCCAAAGTTATGAAAATAAATCTGTCCGAACATTTTTTTCCTCTTGTCCAATCAAAATATGCAAATCAACACATTACTCTCTCTTATTCGTGGAATCTAATTATTCCTTTTCAAAAAATAGAATAGCTAAAAAAAGGAAGAAACAAAAGCTCCTTTTCGCCATAACTAAATCATATTTCTCCCTCTCCTTTTTTCATATTTCTCCCTCTCTCAATCAATGAAGACTTGTATTATAGATCATTTCATTCTTCTATAACGAATAACTTAGTTAATATCTATGTTTACCATATTATAACGACAGTAAACAAGGACTCCTAGATATGTTTTGAAATATTTTTGGAGTTACTTCAACTAATCGTGTGAATGTTTCTTCAATTACACATTATTTTGGATAAGCTATATAGATAAAAAAAAAAAAGATATATAAATGGACAACATGTTTCACTTGTCCATTAATTTATCTCCCTCTATCATTTAAAATTCGGTGAATTTTCTTATCAGCAATCAACGCATATATATGTTAAAATATACGTCAATCAACATCTAATATATAAGTTTTTTCATCTATATATCAATCTATCTAAAAGTACCACCAAATGTAGGAGTCCAGAAATCTACTGTAGTATCGTGTGTCACTGGAAATGTGCTCGAAACTGGCACTAAGCATAAACCTCGACTTCTAAGATCTGGTTCTTCTGATACTTCTAGCTCTTTGGGATGATCACTCTGCATCATTAAGAAACAAAGCAACAAAGGTTCAAATGATTTCTTTATTGCTGGAAAACTGTCTTGTTACATTGTTTCTCGGAATAATGTTTTTTCCAATCTTGAAGATGAAGCAACCATTGAATACATGTCATAAGAATGCAAACGAGATCCGTACGTTCATTTAATTGTATAATAATAACAGTATAATGATGAATTAATAAAGTAGTTAAATTAGTATATGATAAAAAAAAACAAAAACAAAAACAAAAAACACTACCTGTTGATGATGTAAAGAAGCTCCACTTTTCATGTATGGGTTGCTCAGAGCCTGAATTATAATCATTTGCAGGTTTTGTACATCAGTAGAAGAAATACAATAACTAACTAATACTGTAGCCAACCAAAAAAAAAAGAGAGTTAAATACTAAAAATTAAGGGGATGGGCTAACTTACTGAAACTTGTTGGTGTAAGAACTTAATGTATTCAATGGCTTCAGAGAGCACTGAGGCTGCGTCAGTCTGACACAAAAACACATGAGATTCAGTAAAACAAAATCTAAGAATTCTATATCTTTCATTCATCGCAAAAAAACGAAATATCTATAGAATAGACTTTAAATATTTATATATAAAAGTAAAGATATAATAATATGATAAGTAATAATGACAGTAGACAAATATACTAATACACACTCATCATCTTTCTGAAAGATAAAGCAAAAATTTGCAGAGAGAGAGAGAGAGAGTACCTTTCCGAAAGGTGAAACCAATTGTTGGAGCGCAGCGATTCTGTCCCCCATTTTCTCTTTCCTCACCTAATTCAGCAAATACATTATTCAAAACAATTAAGTAGAAAATCTTAAGAATCATGCAAGAATTTGGGGAAGAATGTTTGTTTTCTTAATACAAAAATACAACTTTTATCAAAAAAAAAAAAAAAAGAATACAACTTAGCAAGCCTGTTTTTTTTGTGACTAGTATGCATGGATTTGGGGTTGTCTTTTTTTTTTTTTGATTTGAGGTTGTCTAGAACTCATTATCCTAATATTTTGGATGGAATGATAAACCTAGCTAATATATCGTTTAAATTAGGGTTTTGTTTTGATTAATAAAAACTAAAAAGATTCGTTCATTTTTTTTGGCAAAACCATGGAAAGTTTTATCTTATATATCCATTATTATAAAAACATCAATGTGCATAAAGATGCTTTTATTAGAGCCCCAAAAAAGAAGCTTTTCTTATTTTAAATATACTTTTATTTAATAAAAGCAAAAATACCTTCAAAGCTGGTGACGGCGACGCAGCTTCGCTCTTAGCCCTTTTCGCCGCCGGCTGATCTCCTCCGCCTCTCTTTACTTCGCTGCTACTCGAATCTCTAATCTCCGATATACTCTGCGACTAAGACAATACATATTAGTATATATTTGTAAACATATATGAACATGAACATGAACTCGTGCAGCTAAAAAATATATACCTTTGGTCGTTGTTGGTCAAAACTCTGCGGGTGAATCTGCGGTGGCTGTTGTAACGCCGGGAAAAAGTTAGACGACGCGTCATGAGGAGGAAGTTGACCCGCGTTTCCCGTCGCCGCAGGGTTCCAAAACGTTGCGTTGTTTGAGAATCTCAAAGGACTGTGTGGTTTAGGCGGCGAAGATCTTAAAAACCAAGTCGATGGTAAAGCCGAAGCCATCTGGTCGTAGTTTCCGGTGGAAGAACCGAACTGAGAGTAACCAAGATTCGATTGCTGATGACTCCTCGACGACGGTTGTTGATCGGAAGAGCCAGGCAAGTTATTAAACTCACCTGCTTGATGATGATGGTGATGAAACATAGCTGAAGAGGAGTTTGGAGTTGCTGCTGCGTACATGGAAGAGTTGTCAACAGCAAAACCTTGACACGTCACTGTGCTACTGTCGGTGCTTGAGCTACCGTGAGGACTAAACTGATGATCCAAGAAGAAACCGCGATTGCTGCTCGTCATGTTCTGCGGTTTGTAATCGCTGTTGTTGTTATTGATCTGTGTTGGATCTCGCCACAGAGCTTGGTGGTGGTGAGAGGAATCAGATTCTTGAAGCTGGTACGACGATGTTGATGACGTTGTGTTAGCGTTTGCGTTTGAAGTCGCAGCATCTAAATTGAGATTCTCTTGATGAAGCATCACTCCAAAGCTTGTCTCCGCTTTACTATCTCCTCTTCTTTTGTTCCCCGCAAAGAAAAAACATTAAGACATAATCTTTAACACTTATGATTTGAAACCAAGAAAAAGAAAAGAAAAGAAAGAAAAAAACTGTTTGATAGACTCACAAGAGAGATTGGTTCCATTGATCAACTGGAGATTGTGAAGAAAGCCCTAAACCAATCATTTGTAGATGATGATCAGTAGCTAATGAATGATGATGATGAAGCTTATGATCATGGAAAACAGCTGAACCACCAGATTCAATTGAGCTTGCTCTCATGGAAGATGAAGTAGATGTTGAATTAGAAGAAGAAGATACTTTCCACCAGCTTCCTGAGTTGAAGAAATCATGATGATGATCTCCCATGGCCTTTTTTTTTTCACTATCTCTGTGTGTGTATATATATATGTTGCTGAGATCGATGATGGATCTTAATTTGTTGTGTCTTCTCAGATATTGTGCTTCACATGAAATGATGATGAGGATCCACACGAGAGAGAGATACTTATAGTTATAAAAAAATTATCAATTTATATTGGATATTTCTCTCTTTTTTTTCGGGTAGGGTTTTCTTTAACTATTTATGAAGACATCCGATTAATGTTTGGTTGACATTTTTTTTCAGGTGGCTCTCGCTGACTCTTTCGCCCACGTCATACTCAACTTCTTCATCTTCTTTTTGTTCTCTCGAAAAATTGTTTTATTTTTCCTTTTTTTACATTTCAAAGAATACTAGTCTTTCATTTCTCCTACTTTTTTTTCTTTCTATTTTTTGGTAAATTTACTTTAACATTATAATTAGCTAGCTCACCCCTTCTTATTAAAAGTTTAAAATATACACCATTATTATATTGGTACCATTTTAATTAATTGTATAGATTTTTTGTGACCCTCAATTCTTTTCTTTTCATTTCGTCTTAGATCATATCATTCATATACATTAATTTTTGGCTCCTCCTTTATTCATGGCAAACGAATCTAACTAGTTGCTTACTTGCTTACATGAAAACAAGTACTTTCACGAAAGACTCCACAATAAATAATTTTATTTACGCTATAAACTTCATAACACATGAACTCACCTGCATAACGCTCACGATTTTAACTTCATTGAACACTCTCCATGTATATAACATTTGACACTGCAGTTTGTGGTAGCTTTTTTATTTTGTGAGAATCAGATCCCACTTGTAAAAAAAAAAACTCTTAACAGTTAACATATAGTTAACCACTAGACCAAAAGATTTGTCCAATGATTTTTTTACAAAATTAACTTGTTTTCTGATTAAAAAAATTCACACGTTAAGATTTAAAACACCAACTAATGAGGAAATACAAATTGACTTTCTAAATAAATATAAAACAGAAATTTAGAAGAAAGAGGTTGAAACGGAAATTGACTTATTTTAAGCGAGAGAGAGACCAAGGATGGACTAGAAGAAGCGCGTCACAGTCACGGTCACAGTCAGAGTCACAGACCACTAAGATTTTTTTATTTTTTCAACATTTGAGCTTTGGCTATGACCTTCACCGTTATTTTTTTTTTCCGGTCACACTAAGTCAACGAGTGGGCTCCACGTGGCGTGCGCGCGTGCTTTAGCATCTGGACCCCACTTGTTCCGTCTCAGAGTCAGAGCCCGAATGTGACACTTCTCTTTCTTTTTTTTCGGCATCTTTTCTTAATAACAATATTTGTACTGATAATATTTTTTTAAATCCGAATTTTTAAGATCCTTGTTTTTTCACCGGTCGTTTCACTAATCATTTTCTTTTGCATAACGTTGGTCTCTATACGCATCTTCTCAATCCTCATTTCCAACTCTCAACGATCCCGACAACAAAACAAATGTCACATACATATTGAACTTTGCTGTTGATATTTGCAGCAGTATTTCTGAATTTGGATAGTCAAACAGTGTCGAAATTATCAGTATTTATTACACAGTTTCTCTTACAACTGATCAAGGTTAATATAGTTTAACCCTTTTCTCAAAAAGAACAAAATTAGTATAGTTTGCAATTTGCATGTCTTTATCTTCTCTAACGGTAATCATATGAAATAAGTAAAAAAAATCAGTACGTCTGGTGCTACATAGTAAGTAAATTCATCAATTTTCAAAATGTTGTATCTTATAGAAGAATTACAAATTAATACTTCATTTATAAAAAAAAAGTAAATAGACTAATTCAAAAAAACAAATTGCATGATCGAGTAATTAAAATCTGTTAGGGTTACTGGTCCATCTTACCCGGTTTATCCATTCTAGTATTTTAATAACCATTTGCAACACAAGAACATACGTATCTGAATAAATCCTTAAAAAACAAAACTACACGGCAGTGACAAATAATAAAGAACAAAGAACTGTATATGAAGTGTTAATTAGTTTATTTAGTTTTTTTTATAAAATACAACCATTTGAAAATTGATGAATTTATATTCTATGTAACACCATCGAAATACTAATTTTTACTTATTTCATATGATGACAATCGGAGGAGATAAAGAGTTCCACGGTTGTATTCCATTTGTAGTTGGTGGTTTTTTAAAAAGAAAATTTTAAAAGAAGATCTACTTCTTGGAAAAATAGTTCAAGTGGTATTTCACCCTTAATCACAATTCATTAGCTGATTTTCATTATTAGTTCTTCTGGATTTTCGCTTAGAAATTTTTTTTTGTTTGTGTAATTAATTTTTAGTGTTTTGTAGCATTTTTCACTGATAGGTAGATATTACAAAAAGGAGTTTCACAAATCTACCATGGATAAACCAATATGATATATGCAGGTCTAGTGACAAAATGGTCGATTAATAGCACCCATGAAAATTGAAGTCATGACAATTTTAACGGGATGTGCTTCTCGGCTCTAATTTTCATTTGACCACTAAATCAAATCCTCTTGATCAGCACATAATAATTTGCTTCAAGTCAAATAGTTAAAAATCCAAATGCATTGGTTTTTTTGTGATATCGGAATTGCATTGTTTACAAACACTGTTATATACGCGTTGACTACCACACTAAAAAAACTTGTGTTATATATTGCTTAATCAGAAAAAGCGATGGACGTCAATGGAATTTTGTTTTCGAATGTCTTTATATTAATTATGTCTCATCAATTATTATTATTATTATTATGTAACAGGTTGTGTCATACAACACTGCTATTCCATTGCAAAAATTTGTAGCAATATCCATAGGTAAACACGTTTTATATATATGTAGTTGTATCAAGGCAAAGTAGGATCGCTCCTCTATATATGCTTTTGGGGGAAATGAAAATCTTTTCGATTGGTTTGATTTTTTTTTTTTAACATTATATGAAAGGAGATAGATTGTGGTAGAGCAATGACGTCATAATGTCGTAAGCATGTGGTGTGAAAAAGGACAAAAAAACAAAGACAGAGAAGAACATGAACATGTAAATTGTACAGTGAGAATTTGAGAAAGCAAAGAAAAGCTGAGAGAAAGAGACTGTCGCAGAGACAAACCCACACGGCCTCTCTCATGGGCTTCCATCAACCCGTCAACTACTTCTATTTCCTTTTAATTTTATTTTTCTTTGAAAAATCATTGGATTTTTACTCATTGATCTATAAATCATTTTATATGGAAATCAAAGCTAATTTTTGATCAATTCCATTATTCACACTCTCATTAATGATGTAATATACACCACTATTATGCATTATCATTCGAAATGATATATTGTATCTTTCTTTTTTTTTGTTCGTAGTACTACATCATGCATTTGTATATGTGCTAACCAAAAAAAATCACACACTGACAAAACAAAATATATAGAAAATAAAAAATTTCATAAACATTAGATAACGATGCTGTTGTAAAATTGCATATGTGATCTGATAGAATCGTTAAAGAGAAATACACGAGAGATCGATGCGGAAGAATCGGTATCTATTGACTAGTCCAACTTTTGTAATCTCTTTGCACTTGTGCAATCTCTGTTTTTAAAAAAAAAACTACTCCCTCTGTTCAGAAATTTGATGTTTTAGAAGGATTTTTTTGTTCAGAATTATTTGATGTTCTCACTTTTCAATGCAAAATTTAATGAATTTTTATAGTTTTTGACCTTTTATATTCTGCAGATTGTTTTTTTATTGGCTGAATGATATTTAAATGAATTATAAATAATATTTTTAGTATAGGAAAAATAAAAATTAAATGAATCTTTAAACTGTGTGCAAAAACCTTAAACATCAAATAATTCTGAACAGAAGGAGTATATGACTTGGTGTCATATTGGTTTTAATAATAAATGGATATTAAAAAAAAAAAATACACGAGAGAAGCGGTATCAGAGGAATATTCACAAACTTCAAAGATCATTTATATAAATTACAAAATCCAACATAAGTAGATATAGGAAATAATGAAATTATTTCTCATAATCTTATACCGTATCATAACTTCGACCCGCCGCATTATTCTACTCACTCTAAAAAGCTCCATTACAACACTTCTTTTTTATAAAAAAAAACAACACATTACAACACATTTACATATAAGATGTCATCTATAATAACAAACACGTACGTATCATTTTAAGAATTCTTGTTCCATCCCTACATTATTTTCAAAAGAAAATAAACTAACATTCTAAGAAAATAAAAATACAATACACGCATGTCCTATATAAATGCACAGTCGATAATTTCTATAAACGTAAAAATTAAAAAGATTAAAGTAATGGTTATATAGTCCAAAACAATCATCATTATTACTCCATCGATCAAACGATATAATTGATTAGATCTCGACCGTCATAATTTTTTTGGGTTTGTATAATATTTGTGTACACACACACACACACTCTTATGCTCTCAACTATTCTTTCTTTTTTTTTTTTTTTATGCTCTCAACTATTCTTGTCGCCTCAGTTTGACGTCTATCTCCTCAGTTTTTTCAAGTCAACCTCTGAGTGATTTAATCGTTTACACGTTCTGGGTTTTGCTTTATAGTGTTTTATTCTTTTGACTTCGGTTCACTTTCGTTGCGGATATATAATTTTGCAGGAGTGTTTCTAGTTGTACTAAAAATATTAATAATATGCATCCATAAATAAATATATAAAATTTATAAGGTTATTCAAAGTAAACATTAAACCACATCATATATGAAGTGACTATTATATGCTAGATATACACACATATACATAAATTAATTAACTGCCTATATATATATATATGTGTGTGTGTTTGTTATTAGTAAAATTGTATAAATTGAAGGTATTAGACACGAAGAAGCAAACTCGTACCATTCATGTTGACGTCAAAGGGTATATTCTCTAATTATTATATGAAAGAAAAACTCACATCTTTGCTTTCACCAATTTTAGTTTCTCCTCTCTCCATGATTACGAAATATACATATATATCCATGTGTATAATATTCACATTCATATACTC